CATCAGAGAGTGTTCAGGATGGCAAAGAGGCAAGACTACAGAGGGCGAACAAGTGAGCATGTGGAATTTATCCTGAGGGGAAAATGAAACGCAGGTGAGGGAGCTTCCGGGGAAGGAGTACCAAGATCTGAAGATCTGATCTGCATTTCAGAAACACCTTTCTGGGGAGAGAAAAGCCTGGTCTGGACACAGGAGCCAGGCGGGGCAGAGAAGCCTGAGCAGGGGCAGCCGGCCAAACACAGGAGGCAGAGACCACAGGAGCCAAGCAATGATTAGACAATAGGAGGGGGAGGAGGAGGAGGGCGCCAAGGGCTAGCATTATAAAAACAACTACCAAACTCTCCAGTGCTCAGCCCCTCCTGGGCCACCGCTTTGAAGTTAGCTGTGCCCCATAGGTCACTGTGGCCAGTCGGAAGTGAGACCCTCGCAGGTGGAAGCGGTGAGAGCAGGGGCAGGAGACAGGACCCCACAGGCCGGCGGCGAGGACCAGAGGTCCAGGATCCTTGCAACTGCCTGGCCTGCACGGCCCTGCAAGGGGTGTCTGTGGGGGACCCCCCCCCCATACTGGGCTGAGCTGCGACGCCACAGAAGCGCCAGGCCCCACCTGCGGCCGGGAGTGGCCCCGAAGGCCCAACGCCACTGGGGAAGAACAACCCTCTTCAAAAGGAAAGGGAAAAGGAAAAGGGAAGAGAAGCCACTGTGTACCTTGGCTGAAGTGAGCAAATTATTCTGATTGCTGGGGCCACTTTTGTAAGCAGAGAACTCAGAAAACTGGCCACGACCGAGATCAAGAATATAGACAAGAGCTTCAAAACTAACCTGCTGCTGGCTCAGAGCGATTATTTACTAACAAAACCCCCCGGAAAGTGAAAACTACAGCAGTTTACGGGAGGGAAAAGGGAGTTGGACGGCAGGAATAAGCAAGAGGTCCTTTTCTGTGTGGGGGGAGGATGGGGAGATGGCACCTGGAGCACGGTGAGTCCTATGCACGTATGGAGCATGACATAAGGCCCAACGTCCTGCAGTACCAAATGAACTTTTCAGTAGAATACCCAATATCTGGGCTAGAGCAATAGCACAGCGGGTAGGGCATTTGCCTTGCGTGCAACCAACATGCCCCCCCCCCCGCCCCGAGTTTGATTCCTCCGCCCCTCTCGGAGAGCGTGGCAAGCTACTGAGAGTATCTCGCTCGCACAGCAAAGCCTGGCAAGCTATGTGTGACGTATTCGATATGCCAAACACAGTAACAAGTCTCACAATGTTACTGGGCCCGCTCGAGCAAATCGATGAACAACAGGAGGACAGTGACAGTGACCCAATATCCACCCATCTCGGGCTCACGCCTCAGCTTAGCCACGTGATAGGTGAGAGACTGAGAAGGCATTCCCAGATGAGGCCTCCATTTCCTCCTCAGTGACACAGTGCAACGGGGTTTCAAGGAGTCATTTGAAACCCTCCCGATAACACTATTAGCCAAGAACAACTCTCCTTGCCCCAAAGCCTAAAGATAAGGAGAGCTGGTCCTCAGTTTACCCTCCCCCCAAACTTAACTCTTTCAGTCTTGAGATGGTGTATGCCTCAGGGACCATCCAGTTGGAATCTACTGTTCCACCCCCAGCCTGGAAACTGCAGCCCATCCCGCCTTCCTGACCCTCACTGAGTTGTGTTTCTCATTTGATGGGTCCGGAGCGAGGGGCTGTGGAATCAAGCCTTCGAGGTGACAGGGCTTTTCCCTTCTTTCCTCCTGACCCCGGAGCAAAGCACGGCCAGCACTGGCCAACTCAGATCTCCACTGCACAATGACCTTCTTCCAAGTACAAAAGATAATGTCTCAAATATTTAACCGGTCAGAGACAAGCCTGAGGCTAGAGCGAGAGTACAGCTGACAGGGCACTTCCCTTGCACTCAGCCGGCCCAGGCTCAACAGCCAGCATCCCCACAGTTCCCTGGGCCAGCCAGGAATGATCAGTATCCCCCACGGTTCCCTGGGCCCCGCCAGGAGTGATCAGCCTCCCCCATGGTTTCCCGGACTCCACCAGGAGTGGTCAGCATCCCCAACCATTCCCTGGGCCTGGCCAGGAGTCATCAGCATCCCCTACAGTTCCCTAGGCCCCATCAGGAGTGATCAGCATCCCCTACAGTTCCCGGGGACCCGCCAGGAGTGATCTCTGAGCACTGCCAGGTATGGCCCCAACACAAACAAACAAAACAAAATCTTATTTTGAATGAACATATAACAAGTGCTTATGCTAGAAGCAAGGCACTTGCTTAAGTGTAGTAGATACTCGAGCAGAGATAGGGCCCTGGGCTGGCACCCTGTCATCAACCCGCATGGGAAAGGCTGACTCTAGCAGTGACTGAGTTCCGGGATGACTGTGGGTAAAGGAGCACTGAGAGACAGAAGCCACATGGAGTGTTTGTTACACCAGGCTCGGTTGCATGTATTTGTTCTCTGTAATCTTCCCAACAATCCTTCACAATTGATTCTCTCCTTTCCTCATTCTACAAACAGGCAATTTGACCAAGGTGAAGAGCCTCCTGCAGACAGAATTCCATCACAACTGCACCTGCTCAGCAATTCTGCAGGATATGCAGAATCACCTTCCCTGGGGCTCAGGAGATTAGAAATACTTGTGGTAGGGTCAGAGGAATAGACCAGCAGGCAGGGCATTAGCTTTGCATCCAGACAACTGGGGTTCCATTACTGGCACCCCAGATGGGCTTCTGAGCATGCCAGGGCTGATTCCGAAGTACAGATCTAGGAGTAACGTCTGAGCAAAACGGGGTGCAGCCCAAGCCCTGCCTCCCTGCCAGAAGAACCAAGTGTGAAAAGAACAGAGCATAGTAGGCACACTGCACTCAGTCAGACAAGGCACAAGGATCACAGTAATACTGGAGAATAAGGGGCTGGAGAGCTAGAACAGCGGGTAGGGCATTTGCCTTGCATGCGGCCAACCTGAGTTCGATTCCCAGCATCCCATATGGTCCCCTGAGCACCGCCAGGAGTAACTCCTGAGTGCAGAGCCAGGAGTAACCCCTGTGCATCGCCGGGTGTGACCCAAAAAAGAAAAAAAAAAAAAACCCTGGAGAATAAAAGAATAGTTTCACAAAATTCAGGTTCCCGAGAGAGTCTTCCTTCAAAACCTCCGGACACTTGATTTATTATTACCCAAGACAGGGTCAAAGTTCATCTTACCACTCCAAACTCCTGAAAGCTGTGAAAAACTAAGGATTTCAGGTACAGACCACATCGAAGTTAACCGCGAAGAAAATCCCTGAGCTGGAGAGATGGTACAGGGGCTTAGGACTCAGGCACTGGCTTTGGATGCGGCCAAGTCGGGTTCAACCCCCAGCTCAGCACGGCCTAAGCTTTCCTGCCATCATCAGGAGTGATCCCTAGGCACAGAGCCAGGAGTAAGCCCTGAGCCTCACCAGGAGTGACCCCTGAACAAAGCTGCCTAAGTGCCAAAAACCAAATCCCTCCTCCTCAGGCCTCATGCTAGTCATTGCTGCTATAGGTCAAAAACAAACAAAAAACCAGCAAAACAAAATCAACAGATTGGCAAGAGTTTAGAAACAAGGGGGGGGGGGGGTGGAAATCCCCTCAATTTCACGACACAGGCTGATGTCCCTAATACAAAGGAGAAAGTTTGTGGAGCCTAACAACTTTTCAAAAATACGTCAGGATCTTGAACATACTAGAAAATACACTAGCCCCTGTATTTTTGAACCCTGTATCTCTTTAAATACTGACATGGCATACTTTTAGGTCTAGCTTTAAGGTAGAGTTCCTGGAAACCGATGGACTCTGGAGTTTTGAGTAACTGAATCTGGGAAATCTAAACTATTTCAATCCCTGCACTTTAGAAAAAAAGGAAAGAAGGAGGCTGGAAAGATAGTTAGAGCAGGGTAAGGCATTTGCCTTGCACACACCTGACCTGGGTTTGAATCCCTACATCTGGTTCCTGCCTGAGCCAGGAGCTGCAGCAGCAAGCCCTGAGCACCGCAGGGTGTGAACCCACCCGCACCCACCAAAAAAAAATAAACAGGAAATCAGAGGTAGATCATCGGGTTGATAATTTGTTCCGAAATCACTGTTTGTAAAGATCTGATTTTCTTCAACCAGCTGATCGCCTGAGTAGTACTTCTCCTCCAACCCTTATATGAAGATGTGCACAACCTAGCCAGATCCAAGCTGGCCAAGTAAAACCCGAAAACGAAGCAAAGGCTAGTGTCGGGAGAGTACCTATGCTTTAGGGGTGCAGGCGGCTGGCACTTTGACGGCTGGTGGAGATGCCCAAAAGATTTAAGCAAAAAAAGCATGAATCGTAACGCCACATGTAACCTCAAAAACAGTATATATTTTGAAAACCCACAACCACTGGGCAAGGGGTTATTTGTCCTACGCAGTTGTATTCCCAACCTAGTGAAGTTCCTCCAAAGAAGGGTAAAACAGTGAAGGTTTTCCCCCTTTGTGTAAAGCAAAGAGGTACCAGCACAGGATCGGGAACATCGCTCAGAATCCACCACCTGGTGAGGCTTTGGGTTCAAAGACCCCCGCAAGGAAACCAAAAGGAAAAGAAAGGTCCCTACTCCCAAATTCTACCCAAGTGCAAACGACTACGGCGTGGACAGCCACCCCTGGGCTGTTGAACAAACACTTCTCCAGCCCCCCAGCTGCCAAAAAAAAAAAAAAAAAAAAAAAACTTGAGTGAAACTTGGACGCTTCCAGGCAGGCCACGGAGAAAGCGAGAAATCCGAACCGGGCCCCTTCCCCGCTTGCCAAGATGACAGGATGTTTAAAATGAACGTTTCCATCTCTCAGCTCCCGGGGGACTCCGGCTTTCTCGGGCTGGGATGCCAGAGGGAGGGCGGGGTGGCGGGGGTGCATTTCCCAGGGGGTGGCCCGGTCTGGGCCCCCACGTCTCGGGGCGGCAGCAAGTCGCCGGACCCCCCCCCCACACCCCACACGTCACAGTGGGCGCCCGCCCGTCACTCACCGAGAACACGGCGTTCTGCAGCCCGAACGGGATGGGGGTGAGCCTGGCCAGCGCCACCACCTTCAGGCCGCTGCCCCCCTCCACCACGCGAATCACGGCGCTGAGCTGCTCGCTGCTCTGGATGCGCGCGGCCACCCGGGCGGTGAGCAGCCGCTTGCACACCACATGCGCCACGAAGGTGCCGATGAGGACGCCCACCACCATCAGCCCCATGCCCAGCACGAAGCCGTACAGGTAGCCGGCGGCCACGTTGAGCACGATGTAGCCCCAGCCGCAGGGGAACGAGACCACGATGAAGCCCACGACGAAGAGCAGCACGCCGAGCAGCGAGTCGAGGCTCTCCACCCAGAGCAGGAGGTGCTGCAGCGAGCGGCGGGCCAGCGCCAGCGACGCGCCGCACAGCGCGGCCAGCACGCACGCCAGCACCAGGCTCCGGCACCAACAGGTGCTGCCCAGGCAGCCGCAGCGCCACGGCCTCACCTCGGCCACGCCGCCCGCGCCGCCGCCGCCGGGGCCGCCCGCCGAGGCTCCTCCCGGCGCGGGCAGCTCCGCGGCCACAGGCGCCCCGTGGCGCTCCAGACAGGCGCCGAGCAGCGCGCCCGCCGCTGCCGCTGCCGCCGCCGCCGCCGCCGCGCCCGGCCCGCCCCCGCGGGGGAGGCGCCCGCCCGCCGCCGCGGCCCCGCCCGCCGCCCGCGGCCCGGCCCGCCGGCCCCAGCGCTCGGCGCGGGGGGGCGGGCGCCGGGGGCGGGGCCAACGCCGCCGCCGCCGCCGCCGCTGCGGGGTTCCGCATGCCCCGCCCGGCCGCGCGCCGCCGGCCGGCCTCCGCTCCCCGGGTTCGTTCCTTTGGGGTGGGGGCGAGGGGGCACACCCCCGGGACCCCGCGCCGGCCGGAGACCGCCCCTTCTCGGCCGCGGGGGCGGAGCCTCGGGTCGCGGGGCGGGGCCTCTGCGCGGGGGGCGGGGCCTCTGTGCGTGCGGGCCCGTGGCTCGGCGCCGTTGGGGGGCGGGGCCTCTCCCGCGTGGGCGGGGAAATCGAGCTGGGTGGGCGGGGCCTCCGTCCGAGCGTGCCGGACCGCTGTGCGTGTGGGCGGGGCCTCTCGCATGTGGGCGGGGAAAAACTAGATTTGTGGGCGGGGCCTCCGTGCATACCTACCGAACCTTTGTGCGTGGCGGCAGGCAGATCTGCGCCTGTGGGCGGGGCCTCTACCACGAGGGCAGGGAAATATAGCCGGGCGGGCGGGGCCTCCGTGCGTGCGTGCCGGACCTTTGTGCGTGGCGGCAGGCACATCTGCGCCTGTGGGCGGGGTCTCTAGCATGTGGGCGGGGAAAAACCAGATTTGTGGGCGGTGCCTCCGTGCAAGCGTGCCAGACCTCTGTACCTCTGTGCTCTGGGCGGGCAGATCTGCGCGTGAGGGCGGGGCCTCGCATGTGGGCGTGGAAATCAAGCACGATGGGCGTGGTTTCTGTGCTTTGAGAGGGCAGATATGCGCTTGTGGGAGGGGTTTTTGCATGTGGGCGGGGAATCCTAGCTGGTAGGGCGGGGCCTCCGCTCAGTTTGTGGGTGGGGCTTCTTGTGAGTGGGCTGGGAAAGCTGTCTGGGGGCGTGGCCTATCGCGGGTGGGCGTGGTTAAACTGTCTCCAGACTCCAGACTGGGAGCAGCTGTGGGTGGATGGGGACCCGAGAGGAAGATTCCGAGGGATGGCTTGGGTCTTTGGCACGTTCTGTTCTTGACTTTCCCAGGCCAGCGCGGTCTTTGCCATTCGGACCCAGCTCTGGTCTATGAGTTCACTGCTGGGTGGCCGTCGCGAGAGCCCCTCGGGCTGCAGCGGCCAGTGCTGCCCAGGCGGTGCTGGAAGCAGAGTTGTTCATCGATGCTGGGAGGGATTTGCTAGCTGTCCTCTTGAGCAGCCGGTGAGGGCAGCATGAGGCTTTCACCACTTAGGGAAAAGAAGAAACTGGCTCCAGAAGCCCACCCTTGTGAGACTGCCCCTTCTGACCTCTATTGAGGTTCTTTGTTGAGGGTCAGACACAGGGACTGGGGGTTTCTCAAAAAAGATTAGCGGGAGGTCATTTCTTAGGAGGTCACACACTCTCTGAAGACGCCTCGAACTCTTTGCTGGTTTCTTGAAGGCTTTTTGCCCCTTTAACGTTAGTCTTGCTCAAATTTTCTTTCCTTCTTTTTTTTCTTATTTAGCCTTGGCTGAGGCTTCTCATCCCAGGTCGTAGCTTTAATCCCACCATATCACTCAAGTACTGAGGGTCCCCAAGCCTGTCTTCAGTTCCCTCACTTTTGTAGAGCCTCAAACTTACTGATGCATGGTCGATAGATACCAAATTGGACTCTGGTGCAAAAAAAGATTCGATAATTGTGTTTTGTCAAGTCATTAATCCCTGCCTATGGTTGTCTTTTTAAATTACAAAGTAGGATGTTTGGCATTATGCCCGAAATTAGTGTTGAACTACATCGTGATACCAATAATTTAGAGCATATCCCCCCATTAGGACTAGAGCGATAGTACAGTAACCAGAGCTATATGCATGCGGCAGACCTGGGTTCCATCATCGGCGTTCCCATATGGGAGAACCATCAGGAGTAGTTCCTGAATGCAGAGCCGGGAGTCACCCCTGAGCATCACCAGATATGACCCCCAGGAACCCACCAAATCTGCTTTTCCTTTAGGGACCTTACTTCAATGGATGACTTTGTGTCCAGTTGTCTGCCAAATATGTTGGGTTCTTATACATCTGGAACCCAGTGCTTTTCATACCTTTCTTCTTGCTTTTACCTGAGTCAGGTTGAGTCCCGCAAAGGTGTCAGGCACATTACCCTATGTTCTCATCAGTACCATGTCCGATTTAGTATTTTCATCCTAGTCCCAATCACTTTTAAACGAACTCATGACAATTTTGAATTTTTTTGTTTTCATTTCTTTTAATTTTCTGATTACATCACTACGTTTTTAGCCTAGATTTATTCAAGGTGGGCCCATTGTTTCTATAAGAAGAATAAGGTGCTCGTTGAATGTTTATTGATGAAACAAATTATTGCAGTGAACAGGAGAAGATATGGCAGGAAAACCAGAGTGGATTTGAAGCTAAGTGCATTGTCTGAGCAAGAAGCTATTAGGGATTGAAGGTATTATGCTAAGGGAAATAAGCCAGATGGAGAAAAACAAATACCATTTGATTTCACTCAAATGTGAAAAAGATCACAGATCACAGATCATCCTGTTATTCGTCGATTGCCTCGAGCAGGCCCCAGTAACGTCTCCTTCATCCTAGCACTGAAATTATATTCAAGGCTCTTTAGGAGAATGAGACCCATCATTGTTACTGGTACTTGGCATATTGGGTACGCCACGGGGAGTTTGCCAGACTCTGCCGTGTGGGCAGGTTACATTCGGTAGCCTGCCAGTTTGTCAAAGTAGGAATGAGATGTCATAAGATGTCGTGCGGCCACAAATGCGGCCGCGTGGTTCCAGGATCTGGTTTTTATAGTCTCTGAGTCTTGGCTGCTGATGGGATTACATGGCGCCAGGGGGCCAGTTGGTGGGTGTGACCCCCGCCTACTGGAATTTGGAGGATCTGGGTGGAGGATGCTCGACTCCAATCCGAGTAGGCTTGGAGATCTCTGCCCCGGAACCCGCGTGGCTTTGTCCCTCTGCCAGTACCTTCATGTGTGCGGAGAGTGGTCTCAGCATGGTGGTGTCTGGTCCTGGAGGTCTTTGGCTGCCGGAGCCCTGGTCGGGGTGGGGAGAAAAGCTCAACCCACTCCCTCCAAGGGGCCCCGGCAAGGAACAGCCAGGCACGGGGGCAGGAGACTGCACTGTTCTCCCTCCGGGATCTGGTTTTTATAATGTGAAAAAGAAACCAAAAAAAATCTCTTGGGACCTAAGAACAAAATGGCAGTTACCAGATGGGAAGGGCAAGGGGGGTATGTGTTGGTTGGGCAAGATGGATCAACCCTAAGTTGGAAACTAATCTTTTTGTGGCAGTCATTATGTATATATAAATGTCTATTTGAAATGCTATGTAACTGAAACCTATGTTACTGTTACAAACCATTGTCGTCCCATAAAAGTTTTTCTTCATGAAAGGTTGAAGTAGAATGATGGTCATGGATCTAGTAGTATATAATGCTAACCTGGGAGCATCTGTAGACTTGATGGTGAGTTGGAAGAGGAAGAAAGCCAAAGAAAACACCTGGATTTCTTTAGATAGTGGATAGTAGCCAAGAGAAAGAAAAGATAAAGGGTTCAATCAGGTATGTGAAACCTGAAGCGTCTGCAATGTGTGCCAGTAAGTGGTTGCAAATTCAAATAAGATATGCTTCAAAGGCATATCTCTCCTAGAAACGTTGGCATTGATGGATAGGCAGCAAGGAAAGCCGGGAATAAGGGCAAGAGACTGGAGAAGGGAAGTTCTCTTCCAGGGTACGTGGTAGAATTGCTTTCCCTGGCCTCCTTGTGCCCAGGGTAAACTGGATGATGCACTGTGCCCATGAATTGGGAGCACAGCACTTTCCTGCTGATGCAAGGTCTTCCAAAGCTCTTTCTCATTTTGCCATGGTAATCAACAGTGTTCCAGAGAGAAGATGCTTTCTCAGTCTTGCTCCCACAGGGAGAAAGATGCAAACTCTAAGTCTCCACTTGATGATGACTAGTTAAAGTGAGAAAGAATTAAACCATGGTCATTTTAAGTTTCTGAGATTTGAAAGTTTTGTTACCAGAGCAGTTTTTGTCTGTTCTGACTAATGTGAAAAAAGGTGGGGTTGGGGGGAATGAAACGCTGGGGACAGTGGTGTATGCATCAGACTATCTGCTTGCAAGAACAAGCAACTTAGAGACGTCTTAATTAAAAGAGAGACTGCCGGAATATTGACGTGAACAGCTCAAAGGAGCAAGGTACTTCTGAAGATAAGCTATATTCATTTCTTTCTTACTGTACCTCTCCCCAAACTCTTTGATCTGTTCTTACACTACCAGCTACTAATTAGTTACCTTCTTATCCTCTAATCCATAGTTCAGAGTGGGTATAATTTAGTTGGAAGAACTCTTAGCGTTAAGCTGTGTCCTGTTTGCCAACCAGCCTGTGATTGGAGCACTCTTGTGGCCGACTCACTCCTGGATCCAAACTGTGCCTTCCCTCTGCCAGGCAACACCCAGGTCCTCTGAGCATGATATCTCTGGTCACAGCAATGCAAATGACCACAGGTCATTTCCATTCTTGTCCCACCACAGTTTATTTTTTTAAGGAGTTGTGATAGTTGTGTTTTAAAAATAGAAAGATGTCTTGATCTCAAAGCACATCAACCTCTATTCCCAGCCTAAGAGCTTTCTGTTGAATTAGCAAATCACCCAACTCCTTTTCCCAGTCTACAAAAGGCCTCTATGATCTAGTCTCCAATGACTATGTCATCTCCCTCCACCCTCCCTCCTAACACACTGACCTTTTGAGTCTCCCCCAGAGGAATTTGGCTGGTTTCTACCTCCAGATTATTTGCTTCATGGGTTTGTTGAATTCAGCCGATTCCCTAGCTTTTAGAAGTTTACTGTTGGACTTGAAACAAATGGGACTTGGAACGAATGGGACTTGTCCACTTCAGAAATGACTGCCGTGAAAGCTCCCCTTTACAGAATTACCCTCTGATGTGAGAGTGTCAGCATGTCTTTGCTTTTCTGCACTCCAATCATCCGAAGCTGCCTTGTTGAATTATTGCTTTCCTGTCTGGAAGGTGAAGCACCATCAAAACGAATCTTTTCTGTTCTGTGATACCCTGTATTTCCTGCAAAAGTCCTGGCACGCTAACTATTTTTACTGGCTCAAGGAGATGATAAGTAGTATGACTGTATGCTGTGTATTTTTGTTCATCCCAGTCTGATGGTTACTCTCTACTTTTCCTTTCCTCATGATGCCTCACAGGAGGCTGACTTCCAGAATTTGGATCACTGAGGCTCCATTGTGCGGAGTATTAGCAGTGTATTAGAGTATTAACAATGATTTTCCAGTTGTATTTAGTAAATGAAAGGCAATGACAGAAATATGGAGGGAAAGAGGGTAACAGGAGATCAGCTTCATTCCCCAGCTTTACAAATGCAATCCCAACTTTTCAAGTTGTTTTGGAAGTGACTGGATTCTTCCATGCCAATCTTCCTGTGGAGTTGACCCCCTTAAAAAAAAAAAAAAGCTCTAACACGTTCCCATTCCTAGCTATAGGTAACTGATATGTCACCATCCCTTGTGAAGCTTCTTTAATTGTATTCTGTTTACTGTGACTTCTGTTTCCT